TCTTGGTGGTGGTGGTCTTATTGTGGAAGGTTACTAATAGGGAAAAGCTGCCCTAACCCCAAACCAAGAAAGCCCTCCCGAGGAGGTTCCTCACCCTGGGTATTGATGAAGCAGGAGTTGGTCAAATGGCTGAGGGGTTGAAGAACAGGGAGGGAGAGGCGAGAAGAGAATACGGGGAGGGGAGAGGTCACAGGGAGCAGCGTACGGAGTCCCAGACATGTGGAAAAGCACAGGGAGCAAGAGTAAAGATCAGTTTAATTCAATCGTGGATGAGATTTGGAAGATGAGGCAGAGAGTTAAGGATAGATCATAAATGATTGATTGTAAAGGTTCTAATGTATCATGCAAAGGAATCTGGATTTTTAAAAATTAATTTACAGAAAAATCTTTTTCAAGAAATGTGTGAAGTGCTTACTAATCTGTATTGGCAACATTTAACTGAGCAAGGAAATTGAGAAAAGTGTACTCAGTGGTCAATTTCTGATAAGAATGGTGAGGCCAGGCATAGTGGCCCATGCCTCTAATCCCAGCACTTTGGGAGGCTGAGGAGGGAGGGTCACTTAAGGTCAGGAGTTCAAGACCAGCCTGGACATAGAGGCAAAAACCTACCTAACCGGTACAATAAACGCTATTTGGGTGATGGGCACACTTATAGCTGTGACTCAAGCATTACAAAAGCAATCCATGTTATAAAAAATATTTGTACCCCCTTAATACTTTCAAATTTTTTTAAATATTGAAAAAAAGTAAAAGACCAGCCTGGGCAACATAGCAAGATTCTGTTTCTATAAAATAATTTTTAAAAAGAAAAATTAGCAGGGCATGGTGGTACAGGCCCGTAGTCCCAGCTACTCAGGAGGCTGAGGGAAGAGGATCACTTGAGTCCAAATGGTCAAGTTTGCAGTGAACTATGATCATACCACTCCACTCCACTCCAGCCTGGGTGACAAAGCAAGACCCTGTCTCTTAAAAAAAAAAAAAAAAAGAATGGTGAGTGAAGTAAAATGTCCCATAGGCACAGGCACCTGGATCTGGCTATAGATCTTGGGGGTTCTGTTGACTGTGTCTGATTTCCTATAGCTTCTTTTCTGAGAACATGGAATGGCTGCCCTCTAAGCATATGGAATGATAATAGTCTACCTCCCTAATGGCACCAAAGCTGTGGCAGAGTCTCCTATGGACCTCCCTAGTACCCTTTTGTACTTACTATCAAAGCCATGACATTTTGTTCTGGTGTCTGCTATTCTCTGGGCAGCCAGGAACTCAGGGGTAAGTCCTGATTAGCTTAAATCATTCACATAATTCCATCCCCCTTCCTACTGATGGGCTGGGGTATAGATGGGCACTTGTTACAATTCTGGCTAAAGACATAGTGAACTCAGGAGGCTTCTGGGAAAGTTTTCTTCTCTATGAAAAACAAACACAGAGATGACATGGCCTGTTTTGTTTCTCTATGTTGTTTTGGTATGGGATACTTGGAATTCTGTGTCCTTTGTAGCATCTAACCCAATATCTTACATAGTATAGTTAGATAAGTTTTCATTCCATTGAAAATTGAAGGTTTTTAACAACTTCCTATGAGATTAAGTAGGGTGGTTGTTATCCTTTGGGTAAATTAGGAAGCCAAGAGAGATGAATTGGCATATATTAGGCCTAAAGAATGAGCAGAGCCGGGCGCGGTGGCTCACGCCTGTAATCCTAGCACTCTGGGAGGCCGAGGCAGGTGGATTGCTCGAGGTCAGGAGTTCAAAACCAGCCTGAGCAAGACCCCGTCTCTACTAAAAATAGAAAGAAATTAATTGGATAATTAAAAATATATATACAAAAAAAAAAAAAAAGAATGAGCAGGAATCAACCTAGGTCTCGTGAACATTAGTGCTTCTATGATACCAGGATGCTTGTTTTTAATCTTACCAAATACATACCAAAAATATTGGGCACAGCTTCAATAAACATTTGCCTTTGTGCCCGAAGCAAGGTATGAAGGTAAATTAAACTGTTAGATTAGATTAAAATGCATTTTTGTTCACAGTGCATAAGCCATCTGAGGCTGAGCTGAGAAAATGAGGGATCGTGTAGTGCTTTTGCAAGCTGAAAGACACCCTCATGTCTGAGTCAGTTAGCTACTCCAGCCAGGAACAATAAACAATAACAGATCTCTGCAACCAGTGTGCACTATGGGCTTTGGGGCTGTCGGCATTGTCTCAAGCTTTGAGGAACCCCCTCAGTTTAACCCAGTGTGCCATACACATGTCATAACTATTCACATGTGCCAGTACATGAAGTAAGTGTGGGAAGCATGAGCTTATCTTGCCATGCGCTTCATCATATCTCACACTGCTGTCTTTCACAAACTCTCCATTTCAGTGAACTGCTCTGTTCAACGTCCCCAAATACCTTTTGGGTGGGAGACCTGCTCCTGTGATTATTTAAAATATTCTCTAAATATTTAAAATAATTTTTTTTAAATCCCACCCAAAATGATCTCCTGCAGTAAACTGTTGGATTACATAAAGTTAAATAATCCACTTGGACTGTATAGACTATCACATTGTACATGTTTTCTCATCTGCATGTTTTGTTTTTCCAACTAAACCATAAATAACCTCTCCGAAGGCCATTGCAAAGAGCCTTTCTAATAACAAACAACTAATTCTTAATTTGTTTATTATCTTTGATACTTCCTACTGTGTTCTTATTTTCTAATCTGTTCTATCTTGTTGGATGTGATATAGAGGGTCAGACTCTTTGATTATGGGTTTTTTTCAAACAAAATTTATTGTATGTCTACAAATTCACAGAAGGGAAAAATAAGAAGCATATTAGTAAAACAGGATAATGATGAGGTCTAGGGGTTTTCTAAACTAAACATTCTGGGTATAAAATATTCTTACTAGTAAAAAATGCCTCTGCATTGAGGAAGTATCCAAACAGAGGAAGGAAACATTTGCCATTACTTCTCCCTGGGAACATTTACTATATATAGTCAAATTTTAGTGGCTATTTAAGATTTGGAGAAGAGCAGGGTACTTTTCATCTCAACCCACGAATAAAGGCCGAAGTATTTGCAAGTTTAGTTATGGAACAGACAACCTTTGCATAATCGAATTAGCTAAATAGTTCCTTCAGACACAAGGAGACACCAGAGCCTGAGTCTAGTATTTCTAGCATAATGTGTATGTGTGTCTACTGCCAGACTGGGACTTGGCCCCCTAGAAGTGACTGAGCCAGGACAGGGAAGAAATCTGTTGAATGGTCTTGGAAATGGAGCTGGCCTGGCTCATGGTTCCTCTCAGCTCAGCCCTCCCACCTCTCATACCTACATGTACCCTCCCACATGCTCTGGGTAAAACACAGGTTGGCAAACTCCTACATCATGGCTTGGTAGCTACAGTGTGGTGGTCTTCCCTCAGGACCAACCAAGAAGGCCAACCTTGAGGCTTCTAAAGCTGCCAACCTAAAAGGAGTATTCCTATATAGGAATATACTTTGAGAAGCTGATAAGCCTCCTCTAAATATTTGGGAGGCAGCCTTTGGATTACATGATTTGCCTGCTGATGTCAACTATTAGAGTGCTATTAAAAAGCTAAGACCCAAAGGCCCATGTGAAAGGAGAGAGATCAGATCAAGCAATTATTTATCTTGATATCAGAGTAATCAAGAGGAACTCTTACATACCTGCAAGAGACTTGTGAGGCCAACTCCATCTCACCTGTTGTCACTCCAGCTTAGCTGGAGAGCAGGAGTGCCCAGCTCATAGGATGAACTCTGGTATGTGGAACTCTGAGATGGAGGGGAGGGGGCACTGGTTCAGGATCTGAGTGCGTGGAGGTGCTAGAAGAAATTGAGGTCACCTGGAAAATAAACAGCTGCTCTAAAAAACGATTTAGGATGGTTCTTCTACAGTATTCTCTGCTCCCATGGCAGTGAGGTACCATCTCCCAGTGACTTTGTCTGCTAGATGCCGTGACAGTTTTCAACTCCCTAATTTCCCCTTGAAACCAGGCAACCTCCTAGTTTGTCTGCAGGCAATGAATCATTGTTCACAGTAAGCCTCCACCCTCAACATTCATGATATTTTCTGAAACACTAATTTTTGTTTCAATAGTTGATTTCTTCTTTGAAATATACTGTAGTATAATTTGGCGATACTAAATATTAAAATCTAAATACCTTATTATTCATCTTTCAATTTTAATACTCTTAGCATTTCAACCATTATTTTAAGAGTTTCTTACCATAGTATGTCACATTTACACACATAGTCATGCACATGCTGCAGTACTTTCAGTTTGAGCCAGTGATATTTTGGGCCCCAAATGCTCTGAAAAAATAGAGAAATCTCTCACCGAGCTAAGGAAGTGAGCTCCCAAACCGTGTCTCTGAAAATATTCAGCTTGATAACTCAGTCCTCAGTATTACTAGGTTTCTCTTCCCCTATCCGTCAGTTACAGTATATGAACAAGGGTTCATTTGAATTCCCATGAGGGGAATAGGTTTAATTGGGCTTTTAAAAAAAAATCTCCCTCATCAGATGTCTAATACTGTGGCTGTTAGGCCTTTTCTTAAACTTTAGAACTAGCTACAAAAATATTACATTTGTTTGTGTCTCATGATGTGTATTTTTGGTTTGGATCTATGTAGTTTTAATTTGTCTCAGTCTCCCATAATTTTTGAAAAATTAGTTCAAAGACTAAAACAAAATATATGGTAAACACGGCTCACTCTCATGTTCTTGCTCTCTGTGTGCTATAACAGGAAATGCATTTCTGACACTTTTAAAATGAGCAATCACACGTATAATCAACTTGGTTAAAACTTCCTTCCTGGTAACTGCAACACTTCCTCTGCATCTGGATATGAAGGGAGCCCCCAAAAAGCGGAAGAGTTTAGAAGCATACTGGGTAGGTCTGAATTTGTTTTGTTTTCAAAAATTAAACAAATGATCCTTCAGCATCATCGCCTCCGCTGCTTTATCAGGTATTGCTTCCTTCTATTTTTTGCCCTTTGTTGGGTCTGACTCGGAATAGTGGCACTTCCTTCTCAGCTAGAATATTTTTATCTGGAACTGTTGTTGTCGGTTCTTGAGATGATACTACCGCTGAATGTCTGTGTTTCATTGTCTAGTCCAAGCTACACTGTGGATATCCACAAGGTTCCAGCAAGAGTTTTGCAGGTGCTTTGGTTCTCTTTTGTTTTTGTTTGGGAGGAAGAGGGAGGGCATGGGAGCCTGAGCCATCCAGGCTTCACATTCTTACAAGTGCATGCTTAGAGATTACTGTACTTACAGTGTTTCCATCGTCTTCTCATAAAAGGAGAAAGCTTCATAGCCTCAACCATGCAGGAAACCAGTGAGTATTTAGTCAGTCTGTTTTTTTCAGCATCCTTTAAGATTGTTTGGTATCACTGAGGCAGATGTTACTGTTGTATATTTGCATGTTGCCTAAATTTGGACATATTTCAAGTTACTATCAATATTAACATACCTTACAGTTCTCATTTTTGTCAGTCATTATATAAAGTAGCAAAAGACCAAAATGAATGTTTTAAGCTTCAAGAGACAGTTCTTTGGGACAGCTGGTTTCATTTACTTACTAAGTATAACTTCATAGTATTTTAAGAGGGAATATTGACTTTAAAAGTAAGTAAAGCTAAGATTTAAATATAAGTTTGGATCTAATGAAACTTGCCTTTCTTTTAATCAAACTCTCCTTTTGGGTATACATTGAATGCTCCATTATTTCTTAAGGAAATAAGTAGTTGTGAGTCTCACTAACATTAGTCATTTAAGAGTGTAAATGATATTTTCTGGAACATTAATTTTTGTTTCAAAATAGTTGATCCTTATTTAGAATATAATGTATTATAATGTATTGATACTAAATACTAAAATCAAATACTTTATTATTCATCTTTCAATTTTCACACTTTCAGCATTTCAATCATTAGAAGGGTTTCTTACTGCAGTATGACACATTTATACTTAAATGCTCTGTGAAGGGTAGATACTTAAACATTTGTAGAAAGGGTGGGTAAATCAATGAGAATAAATCTGTGAATTCATGTTATAGAAATGAAAATATTAGAGCAAAAAAGAAGTTAAATAATTGATTGGGGTCTAAACAGCAGGTCACCGGAATCTAGAAATCCTGCCTTCTATCCTGTGGCTCCTCCACTGTCTAAAGCAGAGGCAGATCAAACGAATTGGTACAAAATTAAAATTCCCTGAATGTTCATATTAGGAGAGTATAGGCTTGGATGACTCCTCTTAGACACCGACCTAATATAGCAATGACAGCTGGAATGTTTACACATTTCATGATTCAAAATTTTATGTATCTGTAGTTAGTTTTGATTGCAACCTTGCCAATTCTGATATTTTTTAGTTTTATGAATGAAATGTCTAGCTTTCTTAAATAGAAAGAAAAAAAAAAGAAAAGTAAAAAAGGCAGGAAATGGAGTAGGGAGTGGATCCTGAGTCCAGACAGTTTGAAAATAGGGAACATGAAGAGAGCTTGGGTAAGGTGTCTAGTTCCAAGAAGTGTGAGGAACAAAGAGGAAGTAAGTTTAAGGCCTGTTTACAGAGTGAGGTATTTACGTTGCACCTTGTAAACTAAGACTTGATCCTTAAATGTATTATTTTACTCATCTATGTGTTTCAGTATACTTAAGAACAATTACTAATATGTCAGGCACTGTGCTAGATGTATGTTTTCCATATCTCTTTTATATTAAATTTTTCAAACTATATAAAGGTAGAAAGAGTATCAATGAACCCCCCACATACCTATCACTGCTATTGAACAAGTATTAACTTTATTTAACTCTCACCTCCACCCTCTGAGGTATTACCCATCTGAGAGAGGAGAAACAGGCTCAGAGATTAATTCGCCCAAGTCGCCCAGAGAGTAAGGGGTGGGGCCAGGATTCAAGGGCCCGACTCCAAAGCCCATGCTCTGAAGGCTGTAGTGCCTCCAGCTTGAAGTACGTGGTCCCTCTGGTCTTCACTCGCACGTCACTCTTACGCATCTTCTCTTCTGCTGTCTCACAGGAAAACATGAAGTGCCTTTCTTGTGACAAAGCCCTCTGTTCCTCCACTCGCAGGTCGCGTAGGGCATGGAGCTGGAGAACTATGAACAGCCCGTGGTTCTGAGAGAGGACAACGTCCGCAGGCGCCGGAGGATGAAGCCGCGTAGCGCGGCGGCCAGCCTGTCCCCCATGGAGCTCATCCCCATCGAGTTCGTGCTGCCCACCAGCCAGCGCCACAGCAAGAGCCCCGAGACGGCGCTGCTGCACGTGGCGGGCCACGGCAACGTGGAGCAGATGAAGGCCCAAGTGTGGCTGCGCGCGCTGGAGACGAGCGCGGCGGCGGACTTCTACCACCGCCTCGGCCCGGACCACTTCCTCCTGCTCTACCAGAAGAAGGGCCAGTGGTACGAGATCTACGACAAGTACCAGGTGGTGCAGACTCTGGACTGCCTGCGTTACTGGCAGGTGCTGCACCGGAGCCCGGGCCAGATCCACTTGGTGCAGCGGCGCGCGCCCTCTGAGGAGACTCAGGTCTTCCAGAGGCAGCTAACCGCCCTCATAGGCTATGACGTCACCGACGTCAGCAACGTGCATGACGACGAGCTGGAGTTCACGCGCCGCCGCCTGGTCACCCCGCGCATGGCCGAGGTGGCGGGCCGTGACCCCAAGCTCTACGCCATGCACCCGTCGGTGACGTCCAAGCCCCTCCCTGAGTACCTGTCCAAGAAGATTGCCAACAACTGCATCTTCATCATCATCCACCGCAGCACCACCAGCCAGACCATCAAGGTCTCGGCCGAGGACACCCCCGGCACCATCCTCCAGAGCTTCTTCACCAAGATGGCCAAGAAGAAGTCTCTGATGGACATCCCTGAAAGCCAGAACGAACAGGATTTTGTGCTGCGCGTCTGTGGCCGGGATGAGTACCTGGTGGGTGAAACGCCCATCAAAAACTTCCAGTGGGTGAGGCACTGCCTCAAGAATGGAGAGGAGATTCACCTGGTGCTTGACACACCTCCGGACCCGGCCCTGGACGGCGTAAGGAAAGAAGAGTGGCCGCTGGTGGACGACTGCACGGGAGTCACCGGCTACCATGAGCAGCTGACCATCCACGGCAAGGACCATGAGAGTGTATTCACCGTGTCCCTGTGGGACTGTGACCGGAAGTTTAGGGTCAAGATCAGAGGCATTGATATCCCGGTCCTGCCCCGCAATACTGACCTCACGGTTTTTGTAGAGGCAAACATCCAGCATGGGCAGCAAGTCCTTTGCCAGAGGAGAACCAGCCCCAAACCCTTCACAGAAGAGGTGCTCTGGAATGTGTGGCTTGAGTTCAGTATCAAAATCAAAGACTTGCCCAAAGGGGCTCTGCTGAACCTCCAGATCTACTGCGGCAAAGCTCCAATACTGTCCGGCAGGGTCTCTGCAGACACTTCCGGTCCTGAGTCCAAAGGCAAAGCTCAGCTTCTCTATTATGTGAATCTGCTGCTGATAGACCACCGGTTCCTCCTGCGCCGTGGAGAATACGTTCTCCACATGTGGCAGATATCCGGGAAGGGAGAGGACCAAGGGAGCTTCAGCGCTGACAAGCTCACATCCGCAACCAACCCAGACAAGGAGAACTCCATGTCCATATCCATTCTTCTGGACAATTACTGTCACCCAATAGCCCTGCCTAAGCATCAGCCCAGCCCTGACCCGGAAGGGGACCGGGTTCGAGCAGAAATGCCCAACCAACTTCGCAAGCAATTAGAGGCCATCATAGCCACCGATCCACTTAACCCTCTCACAGCGGAAGACAAAGAATTGCTCTGGCATTTTAGATATGAAAGCCTTAAGCATCCCAAAGCATATCCTAAGCTGTTTAGCTCAGTGAAATGGGGACAGCAAGAAATTGTGGCTAAAACATACCAATTGTTAGCCAGAAGGGAGGTCTGGGATCAAAGTGCTTTGGATGTTGGGTTAACGATGCAACTCCTGGACTGCAACTTTTCAGATGAAAATGTAAGAGCCATTGCAGTTCAGAAACTGGAGAGCTTGGAGGACGATGATGTTCTACATTACCTTCTACAGCTGGTCCAGGTAGGGATGTTGGTATTATCAACAGAACCCTCCTCAAAAGGAATTTATTTGCATGCGCACAGGTACAGCATTCAGTTGTCCTCTAATGCCCTTTGTTCAGGGCTTTGTCATCAGTCAAAGCAGATCTGATGAAGCCACCTCAAAAAGGAGTAAACTGTTCCATTTACTTTTTTACTATCTTCGAGGGTTTGCAGGCAAGCATTTAAAAAACATTAGTACTTCACTTTTTAGGAGAATTGGCCCTTGGGAATACTTTGTTCTCATTTATTATTTTAATGATAGATTCAACTTACTGAAATCTTCCTTGTGCCAAGGCTTCAGGCGATTTACATCCTTTTTGTGTATTATCTCAATTAACTCTCCCAACAGTTATAATGGAGGTCAAATTAACATTTGCATTTTATACATAAGGCAACTGAGGCACAAGAGGCTAAGTAATGTGCTGAGGGTCACACATTTTGAAAGAAGCAGACCAGAATGCAAACCTGGAAAGTCTGACTCCATGCTCTGCTCTTTTCACTATTCCCCTGATATCCAGATCAGTCCAGTGTCTAGATGGTGTGGGCTAGACAGAAATGGTCTCAATCTCTGCCTGTGTATATTACAATCCATAGAATAACATCTCATATCTGAGTTGAATCTTGAAAGTTCCTCTCTTTAGTGAGGTATGGAACAGTGTGTCCACACTGGTTCTCATGATGTTCCCTGGAGTCCTGAGAAGCTAAGTGATTTGCCTAAGGTGTAGCAAGGGAGTGAAAGAAAGAAGGAACAGTTTGCCTATTCTTTAGCAGTTCTCAAATTACATTGTACTGCTTGACAAGGAAATGGAAGTAAAGGAATTGGAATAGAAATGCTGTTTTAGAGCACAGACCTGTTCATTCATTAATTCAACAACTTGTACTGAGAAGACTGGCATTAAATGAGTACACACACAAACAGATGTTTAATACCAAATTGTGACAAATGCTTTGGGGAAAACTGCAGAGTGCTATGAGAAAACAGACAGGAATGCAGGGGACACTTAATTTTCACTGAGGGACTCAGGGACAGTTCTAAGTAGGTGATATTTGATCTGAGATATTTAGGATTAACCAGGCTAAATTTACACGCTAAACAGTGTAATTACTCTCTATATTTATAGGAAGTCCCTGGAGTTTTGTGATAAGCATTTTGGATATTACCAACTTTAACTCTGAATCTTCACCTTCCCATTAGTCAGATACGTTAAATACATTATTTGACCTTTGCTTTCATCTATTAAATATATCCAATATTTTTTCTACTCACTAGTTCAGATACTGGCTACTGGCATAACACTAAAGAATTTTAGAATAATTAAAAGATCTTCAGTTTTCTAGTTCTCCATAGCAAAAACATAAAATAAATTTGCATGAGCTCTGTTCCAAATTGCAAGGCTACCATGAATTATTCTTCATTGTCATTTTCACAAAAAAATTTTGCAGAATTGGCAAATGAACAGTGTTCTTCTTGGAAATGTTTTAAGTGAAAGAGGTCAATAAATAATATTAACATTGAATTTGTGGTCTTAAATTTATAGAAGAGTAGTCATTTGTAAAACTATTTAAGACATCTTCAGCTCATGGTTAAATGACTCATTCCAGATCAAAATGGTGTCTTAGTTGAGATCTGCATTGTCTTTAGAGAAGTGAAACATGAAGAAGGTCAGAAAGACTCATATTAGGGTTAAAAACGTAAAACATTTCTAAATTGAGTACTGGTGGCTAAATAACCGCATTCTCAGAATTAAGTAAGGCCTTAGATGCAGCTACAAGGACACCCATTTGACCACACCTATGAAAAGCACTTTTGAGAACATGGTTCTAATAGAAGCATTATGAAGTCAATATTGATCATTTTCAAACTGGAAACCAAAGTAAGAATTGTAAATTCTACCAAGAAGCCCTCAGACCCTAAAATGTATATTAGAATGGGAATTCCTTCTATTGCTTGGAAAAAAAGGATAGACCATTTCTATTGATAAAGGGAATACTCCTAGGTATTTAATTTTAAGCCTCTCTTCATGTTTATGTATGACATCTATCTTCTAACTTTATATATGCATTATAATAATCCAAACAATATTTATTAGTCTTGCGACTTTAAAAATTATTAACTATTTCAAACTTGCAGAAAAGTACAGAGACTAATATAACAAATATTCATGCAATCAAGATTTAATAATTTTTTACATTTTATTGGTTCTTTTTCCTTAGTAATAGAGCTGTCACTTAAGTCAATATTCTGTACATTAGCCAAGTGGTATGAAAACTACTAACCACTAAGAATGAAGATCAAATTCTACCCAAGGAAGCATATAAAATCAGGGATTTGGGGACAGAAAGTTCTATATATACCATAGCGTGGCAGGGTGGTAGTGATTGCTCTGTGTAGATTTATCTAGGCAACTTGTTTACTTGCAGTGAGAACCTGTGACTTGCCAGAGAGAAGCCAAAAGGGAAGCTATTAGGCTTTTAGGATCTTCACATCTAACAAATACTTTTCTCTAACATGTACTGTACACCTCTCTCCACTGTCCATTTTCTTTCTCATAACGTCACTTTCCTTCTACTTTGTAGATTTCTTGTAAACCATCTCCATCTTCCCTTTCCACCCTTCCAGTAAAACCAGTACACCTTTAATTGGAGCAATTGCTCTTGCCTCTTCACCTTCCCAGCTATCACCAGCACATGACTGTGAGTCAGTTCTGGCCTCTAATCCCAGTTCTGTTATGAGCTGCTCTATGATCTTAAGAAAGTGGTTTATTCTTGTGCCAAGTGTCTTCAAAAAGAGAGGAGCTTAACTGGTGAGAGCCTCCTCACTCTAGCCATAAAGACCCTCTAAGCAGAGCACCCTCTGGTTTCCTTTTCCCGATTCACCTACCAAGAAAGCAGTCTTACAAATGCTAATGTGTTCCTCCTTTAGGCTGTGAAATTTGAACCATACCATGACAGTGCCCTTGCCAGATTCCTGCTAAAGCGTGGTTTAAGAGTAAGTACTTCCACTTTGATAATAGCGTGAAATTTTAACTGATAGGCATTGACTGGTAGACTTAGAGCACTAGTCATAATAATTTTAACCTTCTTGTACTCACCCTCAGAACAAGAGAATTGGTCACTTCTTGTTTTGGTTCTTGAGAAGTGAGATAGCCCAGTCCAGACACTATCAGCAGAGGTTCGCGGTGATCCTAGAAGCCTATCTGAGGGGCTGTGGCACAGCCATGCTGCACGACTTTACCCAACAAGTCCAAGTAATCGAGATGTTACAGAAAGTCACCATTGATATTAAGTCACTGTCTGCCGAAAAGTATGATGTCAGTTCCCAAGGTACAGTGGCTTTCTTTTCTTGGTTCTCTTTCCAAATGCCCTATAATTCTTCTTTCTGGAAGTCAAGTTGCCTCTTCATAAAGGCAGCCAAGAACACATTCTTTAGTATTTTGTCTGCATGGAGTAAGCAAATTTAAAGTTTTCCTTTTACAAATTAATAATTTTTTAACTATATGTGTATGCTTAATGATGAAGTTATGACAATAGATGTTAAACTCTTTGAAAAATTAAAAAGCATTATGCAGATGTAAGATGTATTCTTTAAGAACGGTTGTACACACACACACACACACACACACAAGATTATTTCCAAATCTTTACCTTTTTCTCTGCATCTTTGAATATGTGCGTATGGTTTCCAAGTTTTCAGTCTTTTCAAGCAATGAATTATTGAGAGGCTATTTTAAATTTTTTACATTTCTTCATATATATATATTTCAGAACAATATGTATATGTATATGTGTATGTATATACACACACAGTTGGTCCTCCATATCCATGGGTTCCACATCTGTGAATTCAACCAACCACAGCTTGAAAATATTTTAAAAAATTGCATCTGTACTGAACATGTATAGACTTTCCTTGTCATTATTCCCTAAACAATACAGAATAAGAACCAATCCCCCATGGACATTGAGAGATGACTGGAGAGAGAGAGAGAGAGAGAGAAAGATATGTGTATATCTCACCTTTATACACACACACTATCTCCTCTCTGAAGCCTTTTCCAGTATCCTCTTACCCCTACCCTAAGAAAGCTTGTCCTTGCCCTAGGAATATTAATCACTCCCTTTTTGTATTCCGATAGGTTTTGACTAATATTACATTAAATTAAAGTTATTAACATATCTCTCTGGTCTGATAAACTGCATGAACCTTGAAGCTAGGAGATAATCTCTTTTTCATTTTTATATACCTGGACCTAGCACTATGGCTCATTATATAGATACTTACTGATATACTCATCCAGTATTTTAAACTTCTAAATATTTTAAATTTCTACTTTTTCCCTTTGATTCTTTTTCAATATGTCAATAGTGCTATCTCCTAAAAAAATGATAATGGTAATAGTAATCTTACTTTTCTTTTTATTTTAAGAAAGGGAAGCATTTGTACTGACCTCCATTCTATTTGTTATCCAGAGAGTAATTTTTAATTTATGTATTTTGCCCTTAGAATTTTGAGGCTGTCACATCTTCTCTACACAACCTAACTTGCTCTTTCAAAAAGAGTGTGCAAAACCCTAACCAAATTTCATTTGTTACTGTCTTCAAATGTCTGTTCCTCAAATCGGATGGCAGTTTAAAGTTTCAAATGCTGGAAGGAAAACTATGGTATTAATTCCTTAGCATTACCCTTAAAATGTCCTTCTTTACCTGGTCATATTGGCATCTGTGTGTCATTCCACATGTATTCACATATTTCTGCCCCCTGTTGTAGTGTGTGTATGTGGTTGTGTTGCTCATGGCAAGCCCGACTTATCTCACCACTTCAAATGGGTAGTTCCTCAAAGGCAGGGCCCTACCCTCTTTTCTCCTACACCACACCCAAACAAATAAATAGAATGCTGGGAATAAGTATGCTCTCAGGAAGTGTTATAGATAATATTGATAATTTCTTGGATTCATATCATTCTTATGTACTTTTGGCAATTACAGTTATTTCACAACTGAAGCAAAAGCTTGAAAACCTGCAGAATTCTAATCTCCCCAAAAGTTTTAGAGTCCCATATGATCCTGGATTGAAAGCAGGAGCACTGGTGGTAGGTATCGTTTGGATGTCTCCGTGTGGTCTTTTTTCTCTTGAAGATGTCTAGCATGCTTTCTAGGGCCCAGTCCTTAAAAGCTAATGTTTATGTAGAGACAGGGAAGCTGGAGAGTCTGTGGACGGGCTTCTGTCAAGCCCTTGTCTAATCATTGGCTACTGGAAGCCAGGTAATTTCCCTTTTATATTGTTTTAAATCAGCTGATTGAGGTTTCCTTTACAAACAATAAAATTTGTCCATTTTATTGAGTCAGTGAGTTTTGACAAATGTATACAATCATATAACCACCACCACAGTCAAAATAGAGAACATTTAAATAGAGAACAGTCAAAATATGGAACATTTCCATAGAAAGGTATAGAAAAAGTTTTCTTATTTCACCTTAGTCCTTTTTCTCTTCCCCACCCTGAGCAATAGATCTACTTTCTAGCATATAATTTAGCCTTTTCAAGAATTTTCTTAAGTGGAATCATATAGTATATAGTTTTATATCTGGGTTCTTTTACCTTGCATAGTGCTTTTAAGATTCTATCATGTTATTGTATGTATCAGTAATTTATTCCTTTTTATGACTGAATAGCATTCCCTGGGATGGATATACCACAATTTGTTGTTCATTCTTTTTTTGAGTAAATATTTAACAGAGATATAGTTGAGTCAGATCATAAGTGTGTGTACAAGATACTGATGAACTGTTTTTCCAAAGGGGCTGTACCATTTAAATTCCCAACAGCAATGTATGTGAGTTCCAGTCATTCTATATCCTAGCCAACACTTATTATTATCAGTCTTTTTAATCTTAGCCATTCAAATGAATGTGAAGTAATATCTTACTGTTGTTCTTATTTGCATTTCCCTAATGATGTTGAACAGCTTTCTGTGTGCTTATTTTCTTCTTCTGAAAGTTTTCTATTCAAATCTTGCACCTGTTTTTAAATGGGTGCAAGATTCCCTTCTTATTTTTATTTATGAGAGTTATTTATATAAACTAGATACGAATTCTTTATCAGGCATACATGTTATAAATATTTTTTCCCAGTGTGTGGGTTTCCTTTTTATTTTTTCAGAAGTGTGTTTCAAAGAGCAGAAGGTTTTAATTTTGATTAAGTCCAATTTAAAATTTTTTCTTTCTTGGTTTGTTCTTTTAGTGTCTTATCTAAGAAATCTTTTTCTAATCCAGCGCTTCAACCTGGGGTGATCTCCCTGCCCTCCAAGGAACGTTTGGCAATGTCTGGAGACATTTTTCATTATTATAACTTGGAGAATGTTACTGGCATCTAGTGGGTAGAGGCCAGGAAAGCTGCTAGATATCCTACAAGGTACAGGATGGGTCCTCCATAATATAAATTATCCAGCCCAAAATGTCAACAGTGCCAAGGTTAAGAACTCCTGGACTAACTCAATGTGACAAATAGTTTTTCCTAGAAATGTTATGGTTTTAACTCTTACATTTAAGTCTCTGATCCAGTTTCAGTTAATTTGTGTGTATAGTCTGAGATAAAGATCAGAATTCATTTTTTATATGACTGTCTAGATTTTCTGGCATCATTTGTTGAAAACACTATTCATTTCCTGTTTAATTACCTTGGCACCTTTTCCAAATATCCACTGACCATGTATGTGTGAGTGAATACCTAGGTTCTCTATTCTATTCCATTGATCTAAATGTCTGTCCTTATATCAATACCACACACTCTTGATTATGTTGAAATAATATGCTACTTCATGTATGTGTACTTACACAGACAACAATATACTTCCATTAACTCCCCCATCTTTTGTACTATTTTTGTACATTTCATTTTTGCACATTTCATTTCTACATATGTTATAAACCCCACAATACATTATTATTTTTACTTTAGACAGTTAAAAAAAGATTTAACAGGCTTCAAAGATTTTTTTTTTTTTTTTTACTATTTATCTGCAGTATTTACCATTACTGGGTACTCTTCATTGCTTTATATACATCCAGATCTCCATCTGGCATCATTTCCCTTCAGCCTTTAACATTTTCTGTACTGCAAGTCTGCTGGCAATAAGTTCTTTCAGCTTTTGTTTACCCAAAAAACTCTTTATTCTGCCTTCACTTTTGAAAAATGTTTTCCCTGAATATAGAATTCTAGATTGACTGGGGATTTTTTTCTAAGTAGCATTTTCTTCTGGCTTGCATATTTTCTGATGATACAATTGTCATTCTTATCTTTGATTCTCTATATATATGTCATTTTTTCCCCAGGCTATTTTTAAGATTTTCTTTTATCACTGATTTTCAGCAATTTGATTATGATATGCCTTAATATGGTTTCCCTTATGCTTAGTCTGCTAGGGTTTATTGAGCTTCTTGGATTTGTGAATGTATAGTCTATTAAATTTGGACATTTTTCAACCAATATTGTTTTTGTTCCTTCTTTTCTCTCCTCTCTTTCTGAGACTTCAGTTATAGTATTTTAGACTGTTAGACTAGGGGCTCAGTCTAGATTCCCTTTCTCTTTGCTGTGGCCTAGAAATAGCCCCCAGGCAGTAATCTGGGGTAATTATAGGGCTCACCTCTTTTACCTTCCTTTCCTCAGGGGTCACATACCTACATTGCCTGTTGTCCAATGTCTGAAAAGAGTTGTTTCATATATTTTGCCTAGTTTTCTAGTTGTTAATGGCAGAAAAGCAACTCCTGTCACAATGAGTAAAGCCTCATGGAAAGAAGGGAAATTTCCTCCTTGTGTGATTGATTGTCTACAATTATCAGCAAACTAGCCTTATAGCAAAAACACCCACTATCCACTGTCCATCGTTTACAGATTGGTAGGAATTATGATATATTAATACAGCTTCAAATTGCGCATTTTTTTAAGACCACATCATAGTTTTGATCCATGGTGAACTCATCTTTGGCTAAATCTACATTTTTTTATTTTAACTGGGTAATTACTAAGCCACATTTCCCCTACCTTGACTTAATTGAATGTGTAAGGGGTTTTCTTGAGGGGTTGTTAGACTTAAGTGCCAGATTTTCCACTTATTTCTGTAAATTTTTATCTTGTTAGATGTAGTCTATTGCATCTGATTCTGCAATAATAGTGCTTTAGACATTGTACATTAGAACTCTTTTTTCAAATTAAATCTTAGGAGGAAGCCAAATATATAAACAGATAATGCCAAAGTTGCTCTCTATTAAAGGGGATATAGGAGCACCAGAATTCTGTAGAAGTGGGGCATGGAGAGTGTAGGATCTGCTATACCTCTTAGGTACTGCCGATTACTCTTACAGTTCCTTGGAACATAGTTTGAGAACCACTGGTTTAAGTGTTGTGAATTTGCTCACACATAGCATTTCTAGATTTGATGAGAACACCTTCTGTATTTTTACCCAAATATTGAAAATGGTTTTCCAACTATGATTTTGTCCTGGTTGTTTATAGTGATGCTTTGCAAGAGAATTGCCAAGTGTCTTCACCATGTATATTCATTATTCATTGCATGTAGGAAACATGTGACTGCTTTATTACAGATTGAAAAATGTAAAGTGATGGCCTCCAAGAAAAAGCCCCTGTGGCTTGAGTTTAAATGTGCTGATCCTACAGCCCTATCAAATGAAACAATTGGAATTATCTTTAAACATGGTGACGATCTGCGCCAAGACATGCTCATTTTACAGGTATGCTAATACTAAGGAGTAGTTTTCACTTATCTGAAAAAATACTTCTGTAGTAGATCTAAAGCAGGCCTTCTACTGATTCTATTCTGTTCTCTCAGATGACAAACAGTGATCCAAGATTACATAATAAAGTTTTCTCATAATAGAGGGAACATGGCTGTGGACCATTAGACATGCAATGTAATGAGCATCATAGTTCTGTCCATTTCTTCCAAGATGCATATCCAACCTTCCCAAATAGCCAGATGTACTTCCCTCACCTAACTTCTTTTTATATACCCCATCCCAAGCTTGAAAACATAGAATATAACCATATATACACAAGCACCCACTTTATTCCTGTTCATAGACACATCTACACATCCATTAGGCATTCTGCTTAGATGTGTGTCCTCTGATACACATACACAAACTCAAGTGAATGATTTGATGGGAAGGAAAGAGAAGATTATCAGGGAGGTAACTAGAGAAATCATGCAGGAAAGCGAGGAGAGTGAACATACCATTAGGGCGGAAGGTGAATAGTATCAGTGCTAATTGCTACTGTGCTAATCAGTGAAGGTATCAGTGCTAATTGTTTTCATATTTTCTGGTATTTCTGGATAGACTTTAGTTTCACAAATCTGTAAAGTAATATTCTCCAAATTCTAGTTTTTCAACATTGTAGAAGTAACAATTTCTAATACTTAATATGATTTATTTTAAAAAGACAAACCATATTGATTTAATGGTAGCCTATTTAAAAACTGGTCATGTTTCCATTCTAAGTTTCTGTTTTTACTTATTTCTATTGTGAAAACAATAATACCCTTGCTTTACTTTCATTTCATAAAGGGTATGTGTATTTTCCAGGAAACATTTTAGAAAAGAAAAAAATAAATCCTTCAAACCTTTTATAGGCTTATTAAATTTCAAATCAATTGTGTAGAATCTTTTGAATTATTTGAAGATGGGTACTTTAAAAATACAAAAATCCCTCCCTTGTTCCTCTCAAAGTTTTCCCTGTCCCTTTATGTATTTTGCTATATTTATTTATTATAAGCACACAGTTTGACAGCTAAGGACAAGTTATTTAAGCTCTTTAAGCCTTTGTTCCTTCACCTGCAGAATGGGAATAATAATCCTACCCACATTATAGGCTAATCCAAGGATCATACATAAAATAGCACTTATTAAATGTTAGCTATCATTACTACCATTTTTGTTATTGCTGCTCTGGTTGTAGCCCTAGAGTGGTAAATATGTGTAAGGATGTTAGTGTTATTATGGTAGCATATGCATAACTAAAGCTGAACATTTTAAACAGAGAGATGATGAACAATAGCTAAACCCTCCCCCAAGAGCAATTTATTTATCCTCTTCCTCAAGGTACATTTCAGGGACTGAAATGAAAGTTTCCCTAGCAAAGAAGGGAAACTTTAGAGTGCCAGGTTGATCAGCAAAAGTACATTTGTAACTTATATATTTTACATTTTACATTTACTTCTATATTTTGTGTTACCAGATAAGATTACTATTTTTTCTTTTTTTTTACTTTTTTTTTTTTTTTTTTTTTTGAGACAGAGTCTCACTTTGTTGCCCAGGCTAGAGTGAGTGCCGTGGCGTCAGCCTGGCTCACAGCAACCTCAATCTCCTGGGCTCAGCGATCCTACTGCCTCAGCCTCCGGAGTAGCTGGGACTACAGGCATGCGCCACCATGCCCGGCTAATTTTTTGTATATATATATTTTAGTTGGTCAATTAATTTCTTTCTATTTTTGGTAGAGACGGGGTCTCGCTCAGGCTGGTTTCGAACTCCTGACCTTGAGCGATCCGCCCGCCTCGGCCTCCCAAAGTGCTAGGATTACAGGCGTGAGCCACCGCGCCCGGCCAAGATTACTATTTTTTAAGGGAGAACACAAATATATTAAATAAATATATATACTCATAATAGAAACATTTCTGTGTTTTGATCCTCAGATTCTACGAATCATGGAGTCCATTTGGGAGACTGAATCTTTGGATCTGTGCCTCCTGCCATATGGTTGCATTTCAACTGGTGACAAAATAGGTATGTGGTTACCTCAAAAGATGAATATACTACTCAGCTGGTTTTAAAAGATTATAATTCCTTCAGTGTAGGCACTTAGTAACTAAAAAATCACAATTATAATCTATATAAAAAGGAAGAAAACATTTCCATGCTGGTGAATGTGACTCTCAATTTAATATGGATATGTTGAAAATACATGAACACATGATTCAAATCTTTGTGACCATACATGGAAATGATTTTGGTTTCGTTCCCTCCTCTTTTCTTCTCCATCTCTAGACTTTAATTCATTTCATTGCACATTAAACTTTTCTCTCACAAATAACATTTAAAAATAGATGGAAAGATCTGTCACTTATTTTAATATTCCAGAATTCACATTATCAAAGCTATTACACACTCTACTCTTAGGTACTTTTATAGAAATTCAACATTAGTTTCAATCAAACATATGTTTATTCAAGTTTCTGATTTGAGAGATTTGAGAACTACAAAACCGTTTACATTTGACCCTGTAATTTAAAAAAGGAAAAGGCACAAATGCCCTGTGAAGAAGGATATGCTCAGCACATAAATGCTTTTATTTATTAATGTTCAAAACCAGCCCTTTCTTCTTCTCACTTGAGGGTGTTGAAAGCATATCCGACACAACTTGCCTACCTTCCTCCTTTTCTTTCTCTTCCTCCTAAGAAAACCAACAGCCAGGACCTTGAAAATAGTGGGCTGGTTTTTAAAAATAAAAAAATAAAAAACAATACCTCTGCCTTCCATTCAACAAAGACATAGCTATTCCTCCTCCGGGTCAGGCACTAGGCCTCAATCTCCATCAAACTGTGCATCTTCACATAGGAATGATCGAGATTGTGAAAGATGCCACGACGATTGCCAAAATTCAGCAAAGCACGGTGGGCAACACGGGTGCATTTAAAGATGAAGTTCTGAATCACTGGCTCAAAGAAAAATCCCCTATTGAAGAAAAGGTGAGGTCATGCTTTTCCCCCACTTTAAAGACCCCTCACGAGTTGTCAAGTTGTTTAGGTAGCAATAGCGGTTGCAGGTTTTCAAAGGACCTACCAACATCTTGCCTCCTGCCATATTGGTAAAGTCCTTTAGTCACAAAATGAAGGGGTTTTAAGTGCTTTCCCATGGTGGTGACATAGCAGATCTGTGTAAAACAGAGGTGCTCAGTTCAGGACTTTGGGAACATTTGCTTCTCTTTTGATTATCAGGCAGGCTTTGCTTAAAATTTGGTTCTGTAAAATAATGTCAGCAATTCTTATGGCTATCTAGTTTTGTTGTTCAGCTGAAAAAAGATTTCGCTGCCACATATAAATTCTTTCCTACCTGGGAAATACAACATATCCAATAACGTAATTTGTAATTTACTACTGCACTCTAATCTAAATGGTAAATCATGGATGCTGAAAATGTCAGTTCCACCATTCCTCTGCAGTGCATATGCTGAATCCCTCACAAGCTGTGTGGTTAGGCTGTTTGGCTGTCGTTTCAAGTTCTGCTGCACAGGATTAGCACTTCTCATTTGCATGGTGAGCAGCCTTTTGGAGAGGAAATATAATTAGTAGCACTTATTAATCTGTTATACATGTGGATTTGTGAACCCATGCATACTCTAAGCAGTCACAAGCAAAACATATGTTCGCAAATGAAGGAGAAAGTACTATGGGTTCTGTGTAGTTGTTGGCAAGTGGTGCGTGGGGAGGAAGCGAACCGTTTCATTAAATTACTGTTGCCCTTCGACTCTTGTTTTGCCCGCATGCCATTGTGATCCACTGATTCTTCACCTAAAACATAAGCAGAGCGATGAGAAAGTTGGCATTTAATAGATACGTATCGCTAATGAAATCAGACACAACTAACTTGCTCTCTGAAAATGGTTTCCAGAACAATGTCTTTTTGCAAGTCATTTATAGATTCATGCTGCTTTTTGTAGTTAGAAGACAAGTAATATTCAGATGCATTTTAATTAGTTTCAGGCAGCAGTGGAGAGATTTGTTTATTCCTGTGCAGGCTACTGTGTGGCAACCTTTGTTCTGGGAATTGGCGACAGACACAATGACAATATTATGATCACAGAGACAGGTGAGTTTACTTACTGCAGAATGATTTTCTTATTGTGGCAAAATATACATAACATAAAATTTACCATTTTAACCATTTTTAAGTGTACAGTCCAGTGGCATTGAGTACATTCACATTGTTGTACAGTTCTCACCACCATCCACAATTTTTTGGTCTTCCCCAACTGAAACTCTGTACCCATTAAACACTAATTCCCCATTCCTCCTCCTCCACAGCAGAGTCATTTCAAAGTGCAGTTTAAGGCTGGACCACATATTTAGAAGTCATTATTCTATAGGGACCCTGATGCTGCCATCACCTTAGAGAGACCACCTGCGTTGAGGGCCGAGGTGTGAGTGAGAAAAGGAGAGGCAGAAAATGAGAGTGAAGAAGGCAGAGTTAGAGAGACAGCTGGGAAACTAGGAGAGGGTCATATCCCAGAAGCTGGCAAAGCTGGGAGTGACACCAGTGTCAGATGTTGCAGAGAAGCAGCAGAAGGAACTCATAGGTATCTTTGAATCTGAACTGTTTTGCTTCCCTAACCCACCAGCTTCAGAGGTTTGCTATTCTCTCTGACAGTGGTTAGTAATGGCCACCATACCATGAGATTTTTCTCCATGAATTTGGACCATTATAAGAGTAATGTCTAGACAAAGCACCAGAGGGGGGCCAACTGCTCACTCCCTGGGAGAACTAAAGGAGAAGAATGCACATATGGACTATATATAGAAATGATGCAGAGCTAAACAAATGAGAAGAGATGATAGCAATTGTGGTGGTGATGCTGGTAGTGGTAGAAATTGACCCAAAGGAGACTCATGATTTATTTCCATTGTGCTACTCAGACGAAAAAGGTAAATGCCTCTCCCCCAAGCAGAGTGAAACATCAGTCTGTCCTAAGTTACTTAAAGAGTCTAAGAGAGTAATAGGCATAATGATGACATATTGGCCAGAGAGTTTTGATTTATGTTTCTAAGAATAATTTTGAGATGTGAATTTTTCATGGCATTTGGCTGTCATGTAAAGAACGCCAGACGGACATCAAAAACATACTTGGTTCAAAGAATGCTTTGTGGCTATTACTTTCATACACCTGCTAAGACGAAAAATACCACAAGCTGACAAAACAATGTAAAAAAAAAATGCTCTCTCACCCAAGGTAGCTCATTTTTAGGCAACTTCAAAAATATTTCCAGAAATAAGAAAGTTTATTACAAGTGCTTATACCAGTTTAATGATATCAGACATTTTCTTCTCTTAAGGAAACCTATTCCATATTGACTTTGGACACATTCTTGGGAATTATAAAAGTTTCCTGGGCTTTAATAAAGAGAGAGTACCATTCGTGCTAACCCCAGACTTCCTGTTTGTGATGGGAACCTCTGGAAAGAAGACAAGCCCCTACTTTCAGAAATTTCAGGTAAGCCATCTCCCTCTCCATCACCTGCTCAGAACACGACGCCAGTGGATGGTGCCTGCAGCACACTGCAGCCCTCACCTCCTGCTCCGCTTGGAGGCCTGTCTGGCCTCCCTCCCATCCCTTCTGGCATGGGCAACCCAATTCCTCCCCCAGGTGGAAAATGATGCTTCCCAGTAATCCTCCCACCTAATACCAAACAGCACGTAAAAGTATTCCATAAACAGTGGGACTGACAAATAGGGAATACCAGGATGGCACTCCCACTAAAGAGAGAGCTTTAAGGAAGGGCACCTGGTGAGCAGTGTAGCCATTGGATGTTTATTTATTCAAAACATCAGCTAGAAGACTCACATTTTACACATATTTTTCAGGACTCTGAAACAACTATGAGCTTCTCTTGATTTTTGCTACGAGTGTCCATTTATCACATAAACATAGGGAATTCATGTCATGCCACCTGTGCTTGTCTCATTTTTGTAAAGCGTAGTCTCCTCCCCCATTTCAAATCTTGTCCACTTGACCATGGGTTCTATCAAGAGCTCTGGTTTCTCCTGCTTAATCCTGTAAACAAGCTCCGACATGAGTCTACCCATCTCCCTGGGAGTGTTCACTTTCTACTTGCTTTTCCATTCCTTTCTGGGCTCTATCCAGTTTTGCCTATCAAATATTTCAAACACCCAACAAGAAAATTTTATGCTTGCAAAGTTAATAACTCTTAATAAACACAATTCAGAGGAGTTGTAACTACTACTGTAATATGCCTCTTTTATAGCAATATAAACACAAAACAGAGACATTATTTTTATAACAGTCATTATTTTATATGTACATTTGCCTTGGGTGCCCTTTAAATACCCACCTCCTTTAGCACATCCTACGTAGGCTCTGCCCTCCACGTCTCGGGAACAAGTCTTCTTCCTAAGTCTCTCTTTGAGTCCAGTGTTGCCCTTAGATGACATGGGCCTCAAAGTTCAGTGGAACAGGAACTAGGACGCGTTGTTTTGAAATGTGTCCCTTTTGTTTGTTCTCCTGGCTGCTTCTCAAGTTGGTGATTAGAAGACTGACCCTCCCACTGCTCCAGTGGTGTCAGAGAAACGGAGATCTCTGTGTCCAGATGATCTTGGGATTTTTAGTGTGTGTTTTCTGCATAAACTCAATTGGGTTTCAGACTGTTTCCAGGGACTTGACACATTTCAGTCCTGTTTTTCTTTAAAGTTAAAAATCACATATTTTGACAACTTCCTAGAAGAGAAAAATGATTCCCTGGCCCAGAAAAAAAAAAAAGCCTGGAAGAATTTCACCATTTAAAGCAGGGGGAACCACTCAGTTCTCCATTCCTGGAAGTAGGACTAGCTTTGGACAAACACAGTAACCATAAACTATGACAATCAGACAAACACAAGGAGTTTGGCTTCACTGACAGGCTCTCCTTTCTGTATTTCTCTTCCTTTTTGCCAGTGATTTTCCTGGAACAACTGCCCATCTGTCCTGTTGCTGGTGACATTCCCATAGTGCTAATGTCACCCCTTTAGCTTTCTATGTTGTTGTTGTTGTTAAGTTTCAAAGTATTCTCTCATGAAAAGATTTGCAGTGTAGGGAGGCCAAAGAGAGGTTGCCTCCCCCTACAGGCAGCTTCCACCCAAAGCAACAGATCTTTGCAGTGAGCTTTTGCACAGTCTGTCCTCCCAGTCTGAGTGCATTTCTCCATCCTTTGTGACCTCTTTCACTAACGCGACATCTAGGCAGTGTGCATCACTAAAAACACACTTTTGTAAATGTGCTGTACTGGTGTATGCTATGTTTTGGAGCACTGGCATATATTTTAAGTGCCCGTGAATGTATGCACGTGAAGCCTTAAGCACAGATACAACATAGCATGGTGGTTGAAAGGATAGGCTTTGTAACCGACAAACCTGAGTTCGAATGCTGGCCCCGCTACTTAATAGCTACACACAAGATGAAAATTACTCATCCTTTCAGAACCTCAGATTCTTCATCTGTAAAGTGGAAATGGTAAGACCTACCTCCTGTGGTTTTTCTAGGGATCATTCAAATGAAATATGCAGAATGCCTACCCCAGCCCCAGACCACGACAGAGACTTCAATAAATGGCACCTGCCATTGTTAAATCCATCACAGTGGGTCTTCAAACTATGAAAACTTTTAAGTTAGAAACCATTTTTGAAATGGGTTCTTGGGCAATGTATAAAACATGACAAAGCAGCGTGTTCTGGTTACCGTCCCAACTCCACCGGTTCTCTCCTTCCCTGTGCCCTCTGTGTGCACCCTCTGCCCGTGTTTCCCACCCTTCTCACCCAGAACAGGAAAAAGCCTGCACACCACAGTATAAATTATGGATATGCAGCATTTCCAAAGTTTCCAGCTTGACAAAGATGGACAGTAAGTTTCATCATCTTTTGACTGTGACTGTTTGATAGTGTTTTTGTTTTTGTTTTCTTTTAAATACTGCTAAGCCTTCCTGAAAGATTTTCTGTTTTTTAGTTCTATGTTTCCTTTTTGAAGTTCATCAAGATCAGGGACCACATCTCTAAACTCTCTAAATAGTGTCTCAGAATCTTGTATAATAAAGCTGCCATTTTTAGGAAAGCTGGGAAGCGTTGTATACATTTGCATTTTGGATTAAAGGCGCCCTCATTTCCAGTGAATTGCTAATTTTGAATTGATAAGTTTAATTAATACGCACTTCATATTTGAATAACCTGCTAGGAAGGGTAGAGAAAAGTTGACCTACTTTTTGTTAAGGGTGAAGTGAACCTTCTCCAGAAAGAATTAAAAACATACCTAGCTTGTGGCCTGAGAAAGAAAGGAAGGGGAACTGAAAAGAAGAAGCTCTCCTCCATCCCACCTCTCTCTTTTCCAAGGTAGCTAGTCTAGCCGAGGACCATATTCATAAATTACTTGTGGAATAAAGGGAGAGTTCAGGAGCAAGCTATAATTAGACAGAGGCCCACCATTTGAACCCAGAAATACCTGTTAGCCTTTGGAGCAGCATCCTACACAGGGGGTGCTAAACAGATATATTTCAATGATGACGATTTTGATAAATAAATTCTCCTTAGATATTGAGTGTTCCCAACACAAAGAAATGATAAATGTTTGAGATAATGCCTATGCTAAGTGCCCTGATCTGATCACTATACAGTATATGTATCAAAACATCACTACATACCCCATAAATATGTTCAATTATTCTGTGTCAAGTAGAAAAATAACAATAAGATAAATAATTCTCCTTAGAAAAATCTCTCCCTTACTGGAGAGATAAAAAAGAAAAACAGCATTTTTACCCACTGGTAATTTATTTTAGACCACTTTATTTTAAATTTCAGTGAATAGTTACAGAACATATATAACACACAAATATATTTATGCTATTGGCAAATGAAATTTGGCTTCTCATTTATTTTTGTATGAGAATGTGTTGTTTTTCTAATTTTAAAAATAGTAAATGCCATTTATTAAAATCAAGAGCCAGCAAAATATTAAAGCATATCAGACGATATCAAACAACCATTACCTTGCTTTCCAAAGATAACACTGTCAACATTTTAATGTTTTTCCTTCATTCCATTAAGTATTTGGTCTTTTAGAAGATTGTAAATTAATCAGAATTTGCTTAAAAGTTAAGAAATAGATGTAATGTTAATCCCTTCAAACCGAGTAAGGCTCGTTAATGTCCATGTGGTGGTAGTTTGTCACTTTGGATAAAATCTAAATGTCTAAGCTTGGCCTGCAAGGCCTTGTGCCAGGAGGCCCCGCCTGCTGCAGCCTCACCCTACGGGCTGCCCCCATACGCCGTGGCCGTCCTCCACATCTTCCCAGCCCAGCTGCCCACCTCTCAGGCCTTCTTCCTGAGTGCCCTTCACTGCCCTTCCTGTCTCGGCTTAAATGTCATTCCTCAGAGCAGTCTTCTAAACTAGGTCCCCTCCTGTCATTCTTTACCACAGCCCCCTGCCTGTCTCCTTCATTGCATCTGTCACAACAGACAATTACTTTCACTGGTTTGCTGTTTGTCTCTCCCTTTCGACACGTGTCAGCTCTGAGCCATGAAGTGTGGAGGGGCACCTCCTGAGCAGACTGGGTAACCTCTAGGCTGTCTTTCTTCCCTGGCATGCGCTATATTCCGTGAGTTATGATCTAGTAACTCAGGTGCAGATTAACAAACCACTGTCACATGGAAGTTAATAAGCCTTCCAGAGGCAGGTTAAACATCTATGCATTGGATGAGGAACTAATTTCACCTAATTGTGAAATCTAGTGTTTTATTAAATAATACAAATATGTGAGTGTCATATGGTGCCTATTCACATTTTTTGTGGGGATTTTTCTTACCAGCATAAATATCACATATTTTTTCCCCCAATCAGAACAGTAACCTATGCCAAAAGAATAGGATATGGAGTATATATGCATAGTTATAGGTTCACTACAAGACAGTTTTCAAAGAGCATGAACAACTTGTGCTTTTATAAATAAACATTTTGAAGATGTTCTTTACACACCGTAGGCACTAAGCAAACATGTGTCAGATGAATCTGAGGTCATCAGGGGAGCCGGCTGACATGGTCACAAACACATCTATGCAAAGCAGGTCATCTGAGGAGCTTCCTTGAAAGGCACTTGCCCCTAGGTGTCACTCTTAAGAAGCACTTCTAGGAGAAAAGTCTGGAGCCCATTCGTTGTGTTTATTTCGATCTAGGATGACTGTGGATGTTTTCTTGCCAGTTTTCTGAGGCCCTGCCTTGTTTCCAGCCCCGCAGCTTCATCCCCACGCCAGGGTGTACCCGGGCCGCCAGCTGTAGGCTCAGCCCTGTGCTCAGCCTCTATGCAGAATCCTGACTGAGGAAGTTTTAAAGAACCTTTATTCAACCAAAGTGCATCCCTGCTGTAGTCTAGCTCCACTCTTGGGTCCCAGGTCATTTTGACTGCCTCTGCCCCCGTTGCTCCACCAGAGGCCCTGCTTGTCAACCCACCTCTGG